CAGTCTAGGACTAACACAAACACAGGGTCAGATCAAGGCCTTCCTCAGGTACCTGAGAAATGCCCAGGCTTGGTGGATGGAGGCTCCCCGTGGGAGAAATAACTATGGTTCCTGGTATACCTTCACCCCTTGCAAAAGCAAAAAGTGATAGAACCTTTCACTGTGGGCTGGGCACAGGGCCACCAAGCTGGGGACTAGCCTTCCCTGCCTCCCTTGCAGCTACATGTGGCCATATGGCAGGGTTCTGACTACAAGGATGTCAGCAGCAGTGAGCATGCAACTTCCCATCTTGCCCTCCCTGCTCTCTGCTCCCCTCCCTCTCTCATTCCATTTCCTGCAGGCTGGGAGCCATTCTGATCATGTGGACAAGGACATCACTCAGACTGCTGAGTGGCAAGAAGGAAGGAAGCCAGGTCGCTAGATGGCTTTGCGAGCAGAGCTACCTGACTGCCTCAGCGTCACCTCTGTGCTAATCCCTTTTATGGGTCTCTGTATGCAGCAACAGAGCCTGCTCGGCAGGTTTCTTGCCGGGACAAATTCCCTGTCACTGAAGTTTGGTGCTGGGTGATCCCATCACCCAGGTAAAGCTAATATATTTTTAGCAGAAAGAGTCACCCACACAGTTTACGGAAGGCCTTCCAAACACAGGAGTTGAAAACTCAAATGCTTCTAGGGGACAGGTAGATGACATTAAACAGGACAGCAGACCAGGCAGGGCCAGCGCAAAGCAGAGAGTGCCTCCTGCCTGGATGAATCAGCCGCTGTCAGCCCTGACCAGCCGCTTCCAATGCTCCCAGACTGATTTTCTTTCTTACTGTCAGTTCTTATTGTATTCTATTTCTTTATTTACTTATTTATTTATTTTGAGACGGAGTCTCGCTCTGTCACCCAGGATGGAGTGCAATGGTGTGATCTTGGCTCACTGCAACCTCGTATCCCGGATTCAAGTGATTCTCCTGCCTTAGCCTCCCCAGTAGCTGGGATTACAGGCATGTGCCACCATGACTGGCTGATTTTTGTATTTTTTGTAAAGGTGGGGCTTCCCCATGTTGCCCAGGCTGGTCTTGAACTCCTGGCCTCAAGAGATCTGCACCTCCTCTTGAGGAGTGAGCCACTGTGCCTGGACTATATGTCTGTATTTTTACAAACAGAATTCTTCTGGTTTTTTAAGTATCGACAAGTAATTTTAAAACTTTTTAAATGAATGATTATGATTATTATTACTAATATTATTTTTTTTGTAGAGATGGAGGTGGGGGGTCTCCCTGTGTTCCCCAGGCTGGTCCTGAACTCCTGGCCTCACACAATCCTCCCGCTTTGGCCTCCCAAAGTGCTGGGATTACAGGTGTAAGCCACCATGCCTAGGCAGAAAACTTGAAGCCTGTTAGACATAAAACAGTTCAGGAATCACATTTGCTTGTGACCTCTGCATTCATTTGACTCCAAAATAAGACAAAAATAAAAACTACTACTATTTATCTTTATAAAGAGAATAGAAAAATAATTATCTAGTGTCTTTTAAAGTACACTGATGGGTACCGGTAAAAACGCTGGTTAGCGTGTTCTGTAAAGAGAACTTGCTGATTATAGACAGTGGAAGCCACAACAGCGGAGAAAGGAGCCAGCAGTCAGTAACCTCCGAAAGAGAAGGACGCAATGGCTCCGCAGCCTCTGTGTCCAACCTCTCGGTTCCTCCCCCTTCCCATCACATCCAACCACGTGTTAGGAAACATTTTCAGGTAGGAAACATAGTAACATGTGCTGTTCATATTCTCTTTTGCATTGATCAAAGGCTTCTGAGCAGCAGAGAACTAAACAAATGTTTGGAATCCTGAAACTTGGTCCGGACTTCTGGTCGCTCTAGTTGAAGACCCTTAAATGCCTGGTGGCCCCAGAGTCTCAGCTCTTCATGCCCTTGCTGGAACTACCTGGGATCACCTCCCAGATAAATGACCTGTTCCCAAGTCCTCATCGCTGGGTCTTCTTTGGAGCGACCCAGATCCAGATGGCAATGAAGCAGTAAGGCGCCTGGAACAGGGCCTGAGTGGCAGTTTCCCATCTAGCAGTCTGACTGCAGAGAAGTGATCATTGCCTTGGGCCATGAGTGTGGGGATGTCGGGCCCCTGCTCTAGCACCTGTGCCCATGTGTGGGGTCCTTCGTTCCCAGGAATATCCTCCCCGAGACACCCACATGGCTCACTTCCTCCCCCTTCAGTCCTTTTATGTTACTCTGCCACTCCTCTTATGTTAGACCAGTGGTTCTCGATACAGAGTGATTTTGTTCCCCAGAGAGCATTTAGGAAGGTTGTTACAACTTGGGGTAGGGTTGCTCCTGCCATCTAGTGAGAGGGGTCAGGGAGGCTGCCGAGCACCCTGCAGTACCGAAGACAGTGCCCCTCCCCTGGCCAGCAAGGAGATTCCTCCAACCCCAAATGTCAATATGCCAAGATCGTGAAGTCTGGTATTAGATATCATGGTTGTTGCTCTTACTAGTGAGATGATTGCTCCTCCTGCTGGCCAGTGAATGAATGAATAATTCAGCATTTACTGAGCACCTCTTACATGCCCAGAGACCATTTTAAATGCTGGGGTTACAGCAGTGCACGTTTAACCGACAAAATTCTGTGCCCTGTGGGGCCGACCTTCAAGTGGGGAGAGAACAGTCACTGAACAAATAAGAAAAGCACAGTCTTCCAGATTATGCTATGGAGAAAAAGTAAACAGGGGTGGAGGGTAGGGAGTGGCCAAGGAGGGACTGTCATTTAGAGAGGCAAATCTTTCCTGCGAAGTGGCCTCCGGAAAAAGGACTGAAGAGGGGAGGAAGTGAGCCATGTGGGTGTCTCGGGGAGGATATTCCTGGGAACGAAGGACCCCACACATGGGCACAGGTACTAGAGCAGGGGCCCCACATCCTCACACTCATGGCCCAAGGCAATGAACCCTTCTCTGCAGTCAGACTGCTGGATGGGAAACTGCCACTCTGCCTGCTGTGTGACCTTGGGAAAATGATTCAGCTTCTCTGGGCTTCACCTGTGGCAGAGGGCTAATAACAGTCATCAGGCTGTGTGAGCATGAAGTGAGATGAGGTATGGAAGGCTGTTAGGAATGCCATGTTCAGTTGCGTCATCTGTGCACTGCTCAAAAGCACCTGGTCTAGGCAGCAAGCAAGGCTAGAATCCCTATGCCAGCTCACATTCCCGAGGAAAGGGGACCTTTTTTGATTTGCCTTTATGTGCTTGTCCACCGTGAGGGGCGACATTCAGTTTTTCTTATGAAGGCTGAGTAGGAGGCTGCCTGGCCTGGAGCAGCGGCCAGGTCCTCCAAGAGCCAGTACTCCAACAGTCGCTGTTTTTATGAGCAGTATCAGACCGTGTTTATGATCATGATTAAGTACGCTGAGTCCCTTGTCATTGCTGTGACCTCACCCCAAGGAAAACAAAGTGTGGTCATTCTTGGCATCTCTGACTTTCCTCTCGGCCTTGGGAGGAGGGGCTGGGCCACCTTTTCAGAGCCATCCTCCCTAATTAAGGCCCATGGGAACCCAGGCCTCCTGCAGAAGGTACAGTCCGAACAGCTCTTATCACCCTGAGCAGAGCTGACGGTGGAGAAAACTTCCTTGCCCCAAATCCTACCCACTTAGGGGCATATTTGCCCCATCCAGGAAATAACTACCTGTCCCCCACTTACTGTCCCCCATGGGGTCGCCTCCTTCCCTGCCCAAACCTTCTCTCTGAAAGGGATCTGAAACTGTCCTGCCAAGGAAGAATCCCTGAACAATGCTTCTCCCCCAGGACACCACCACGCCCGGCTAATTTTTGAATTTTCAGTAGAGGCAGGGTTTCACCATGTTGCCCAGGCTGGTCTCGAACTCCTGACCTCAGGTGATCCATCCCACTGCACAGGAGAGGAGACTCAAGAAAGTGACAGGTGGCCGGTGGATCTGAAGCCACGCGCCCGCTCCTCACTGTGACACACCCCACCTCAACTACCCCAGGGCCAGGCATGAAAACTGCAGTGAACCGGTGGGGTGAGTAGGAAGCTAGAGGAAACCTCCTCATTCAGGGGCACCTGAGGTTCCAGCTGGTGGCAGCCCAGAGAACGAGGTCCAACATTTTAAAGACAAGCCTCAAATCTGGATCTTTTAAATGAGAAATCCCACTGCACTCCCATTCTCCTATCGGGGGCAATTTCCCGGGAATGGGTGTTTGCCGGACTGTAGCTCCCTGGAGGCAGCTGGGGTCCGGGCCCCGGCCCCATTTTCATAGGAGGTGACATTTTCTCTGGAAGGGTGTCTCCCACAACGCAGGTCCCCCGAGCAGTGGGACACACAGCAGGTGCACAGCAGGGCTATGTCTGCTCCAGGAGCGCCCCTCCCAGCTCACAGGTGCGCAGTGGAGGCGCCAGAGGCCCGCCCAGGTGGCCCAGCTTTAAGCCCAGCTCCTTTTTAACCCTTCCCCCAGTCGGGCTCTCCCCTACGAGAGACAGTTCGGTTTACCGGTCGGTTCCCCCCGCGCAACCCCCTCCCTCCGGCCCAGGACCTACCTGGCGGGGGCGGCACGGCTTCCAGGCAGGCGTAGGCGCATCCGTTGTAGCAGCAGCGCCGGTGCCGCGGGCACTCGGAGTCCGCCTGGCAGCGCGCCGCCTGGCAAGCGCCAGGGGGCAGCGTCCGCGGAGGCGGCGGGCAACGGTCCGCTCGGGGCTGCCGGGGGCCGCCGGGCGCTCCCGCTTCCTCGGCCTGCGGGGAGAGAGCAGCGTCAGCGGCTCTTGGGCCCGCGTTCGAGTCCTGGCGCCGCCCGGAGCTGTGCACCCGGGACAGCGTGCGGGGCCTCTGTGAGCCTGAGTTTCTTCGCGTGAGAAACAGCGAGCAGGCAGAGCCAGCCTCGGAGGGCAGCCCAGAGGGTCAGAAGATACCGTGTTTCTCTTTATAACGGCGCATGAAGTAAGCGAAAGCCCAAAGAAAAGGATAAGCCAATCTTGGTATGTGTGCTGGAGAACATTCACTTCAGCATCTACCCTGAGTGAGAGAGAGATTATATATAATACATAACACATATGGTACCTACGCGTAAATACAGGCATACATATATGTCTGTATGTACATATGTATAGGTACATATGTGTGGATTGCTTATAATCCATATGTTTATATAGAGCTTTGAGAATTTACAAATTATACACAGAATGATTAAATCCATTCGACAACTTCGATACATCCCACAAACAAAATAATAAAGGGGAAAAAACCCAGATCAAAGAGAGCACCCCAGTGGGATTCCACTTACATTTATAACTCAGAACAGGCCAGGCTGATGTCTGGTGTGAGAAGTCAGGAACTCTCAGGATGGGCAGTGACTGGCTGGGAACACCGGGACTCTGGGGCTGGCCCTGTTCTGTTTCTTGGTCTGGGCGCTGGTTACATGGTGTGTTTACTTTGTGGGAATTCATGGAGCTGAACACTTAGGATTTATGTACTTTGAAGTATTACCTTTTAATAAAAAGTTTAAAAATAAGATATAGGGGCAGGTGCTGTGGCACATACACCTATAATCCCAGCACTTTCAGAAGTCGAGGTGGGTAAATCACTTGAGCTCAGAAGTTTGAGACCAGCCTGGCCAACATAGTGAAACCCCCTTCTCTACTAGAAAAGAAAAAAAAATACAAAAATTAGTCAGGCATGGTCACGCACTCCTGTAGTCCCCGCTATTTAGGAGGCTGAGGTGGGAGGATGGCTTGATCCTGGGAGGTGGAGGCTGCAGTGAGCTATGATGGAGCCATGACACTCCAGCCTGGGCAATAGATTAAGACCCTGTCTCAAAAAAAAAAAATATATATATATATATACACACACACACATATAGTACTCTAACATATAGGAATATGGGTGAGTGACCAATGAGATCAGTATTTTAGAGGTGAGATAGAAAATTTAAGCCACCAGGCAAACTGCCCTGGGTCCCCTGACACCAGACCCCATCCACGCCAGTAACACTGTTCTGCTTCTATGAAAATGGGACGTGTTGTGAGCAAGTTGTGTGCATTCATGTACACACACACAGAGTTAGAGACAAGACAGATTAACAGGGAAAAAAAAACACCCTGGCTTGGGCTACCTCCTAGCCTTTGCCTAAACTATTCCTTTCATCTAAAACCTACTTATGTCCCCCCTTGTCCTCCCCCAACATATTCAAAATCTAGCCCCCTTGTGCTGGCCAAGTACAAAGGGCATATCTGCAGACTGGAATAGTATACAGCCATGAAAAGCTGTCCCTAAGGTGTTGGCAGAAAATGAAATAAGACTCAATGTGCCGTATATGAAGGCTTGCCAGGATGTGGTGGCTCATGAACAAAGCCACAGTGAGGAACAGCGTGTCCGCTCTGCCCCATCTGTTTTTAAAAATGCACGAAGATGGAATATGTATATGTTTGCATAGGATTTTTTGGAACTTTCTGGAAGGATACACAAGGTAACACAAAAAACCATTATGAAAGTTGCCTTTGGAGAGAAGAAGAGGTGGAAAGGCTGAGGGAGCTTTCTTCCTATTGTACGTTCTTCTGCACTGGTTCAATTTTTTTTTTTTTTTTTTTTTTTTACCATGTCTTCAATTTAAAGACAGTCTCCATGCAGAGCGAGGTCACATCCTCCAAGCCCCGGCTTAATCTAGACTTGACTCACAGAACCGCACAAACACTACGGAAGCTGCTTTGATGACTGTGGGCACCGTCACCTCCAGTCCTTTGCCCAGGCTGCGCCCTCTGCCAAATGCCTGCTCCTTCAGGTCTGCCAGATAGACCATTCCCCAAAACTCAATCAGCGTTCTCAGCTGGGAGGTGCTTCCTTAATGCCAGCCCTCCCAGACCAGGGTAGGCATCACCCCCCACCCCCACTTCTATGTCCCCCATCATCACCGTTGCTAGGTGTCTGAATAGAAATCCACCACCAAATGTAACCTGAGAGCGACGCCCTCAAGGGAAGGCCTCAAGTCTCCTGTGTCTCCTCATGCTCATATGGTCGGCTGAATAAAGGTCCCCAAAGACACCAGGCCCTGCTCCCTGGAATCCGAAATCCGAAAAGAAAAAGGGTCTTTGCAGACGTGATTAAGGATCTTTACACAGGGAGACAATCCTGCATTATCTGGGTGGGCCCTAAATCCAGTCACAAGTGTCTGAGAAGAGGGAGATTACAGACACACACACGCACACACACACGAACACAAAAGCGCACGAACACACAGGCACACAGGCACACAGGCACACACATGCACACGCACACACGCACGAACACACAGGCACACACGCACGCACACACACATGCACACACACGCACACAAGAAAGTCATGTGAAGATGGAGGCAGAGATGGCGTCTACAGACCAAGGAATGACCATGACCACCAGCAGCCACCGGAAGAGGGACTGGCAAGGAAGGAACCTCTGGAGCAGGGCTGAGGCTCTGCTGACCCCTTAATTGCAGTCCAGTGAAACTGATGCTGGGCTTCTGGCCCCAGAACTGTGAGAAATTCATTTCTGTTGGTTCAACCACCCCTCCCACCCCAGTTTGTGGTCATTTGTTACGGCGGCCCCTGGAAACTTGGTATCTGTCACTCTGCCAGGCACATTCTGTAAATGAATGCCACCCCACGCCCAAGACCCCACAGTGGCCTCCACAGTGGCCTCCTCCCTGGCCTCATTGCCTCCAAATCCATCCATTCTCCAAACTGCAGCCCCCAAGAGGCTTTATGAAAGACAGCTGTGGATTCAGTTGCCTTTGTTCTCCAAGCCCCCAGGGGCTTCCCAGCACACTTGGGACCAAGTCCCAGCTCCCGACTCAACCTCCAAGGCCTGTGCCAACCGGGTACAGGTTACTGCTTCAATTTAATAATTTAGATATAGGATACATTGGCCTCATCTCATCACCCCTGACTCTCCTTGTCCTTATATGCCAGCAAACTGCCTGCCTCCTCCTCACACCTTCCAAGCACATTCCTCTCTTCAAACCATTTCCTCCAACTGCATTTGTCTCATCCAGCAGAGCAGAGGGGGCAACCAGAGTGGACTCTGCAGTTCACGGGTTCAAATCCCAGCTCTGGGGGCTTAAATTCTCTCTGCCACTCACTTGCTGTATGACCTTGGGCAAGCGTCAGTTTCTCCCTATAGAACCTCCCTCCTGGGTCATCCTGTGTCTACACCCAGGGCAGTGCCTACACCCAGGATGGAGTCTACACCCAGATGGCGTCTACACCCAGGGCAGTGCCTACACCCAGGATGGCACCTACACCCAGGATGGACTTTACACCCAGGATGGCGCCAACACCCACGATGGCACCTACCCCCAGGATGGCGCGTACACTCAGGATGGAGTCTACACCCAGATGGCGTCTACGCCCAGAGCAGTGCCTCCATCCAGGATGGCGTCTAGCACAGTGCCACGATCATCATTCGCACGTGCTGTTCCTCCGCATGGAGGGCTCCCCACCCTCTTCTATTGGCCAAATCATCCTTCAGTCCTCAGCTTAAATGCCTCCCTCGGGAAGCTTTCCTGGACTAGTCGGGATGTGTCTAGTACAGTTCTTCTTTTTTAGTACAGTTCTTCACCATCCCACACTGAGGGCAGAGGCTGTGTCTTTCTCTGCCTGGCTGGGGGCGTGCACTGTCCTTCCTGCGTCCCTAAGTAGGTAGCTGCAAACTGCACGTGCTGCCGCCAATGCCCTGCAGGGGGCACCAGGTCTCCAGGAACGGGTCCTGTTTGGGTGCCCCTGGGAACCAGTGGCATCACCAAGGCAGAGGTGTTCAGTTGCTCCCCGGGAGCCTCAGGGCCTGAGACTGAGGGCATGAGGGGCAGAAAGCAGGAATGGTTAGCGGGTGGGAGGGGTGGCAGGAAAGCCTGGGGAGGGGGCTCCTGGTCCCCCTCCCCATCCCTGCTTCACCCAGAGAACCCCTGTTTTCTCTCTTGTAGACCTTTGCAGCTAAATTCATGAAAAGTGAAAATGAGCACTAAGCTGGCATTCGATGGATATGGAGACGAGGGCTTACGGAGGTGAGTTGTTTTCCCCAAACACAGAGGGAGACCAGAGCACTGATCAGTCCTTTTATCACCCCGTTCTCCACCCAGTCTCCCTCACCCCTGTATAATCCCACGCCATTAGCTCTTAGTTCACTTGCTGCAGAATTAACTAAATTGGACCCATGTTGGGGTCCGCCATTTTTAATCCTAATCTAACATGACAGCTGCCCCAGCCTCTTTGGAGGGTGGTTGAGAATGCACCGTGCGTTGTTGGAGAGGGTGGCTTATTTTTCTGCCCAGCTTGTTTTTCCATCAAGCCTCATTTATGAAATTTAATGGAACTGGGTGATCAGAAGCAAAATGCTTTTCACCCACCTCAAACGCCTCCCAGTCCCCTGTCTTCCTTAATGGCAGCCCCAGACGGGAGGGTGTGCAGACAGATCAATGTGAGATGCGCCCCTGTCTCAGAGGAAAATTCAAATGTCAGTTCTCAGAATTTGGAGAGAACAGAGGGATAAGTGCCTGAGAAGTCACATCTCCCGAGTTCTTTCCTGCGTGGCTGAAACAACAGATGGTCGTGGGTGATAAAGCCCTGATTTCACCAAGAGGCCCAGATTAAAGGATTACATGCTTTGAAAAATATTTTATGTCACGCAAGGTGACGCTCACAGAGGCTTCTAAGCAGAGGGTGTTTTCTGGAATCCTGAGAAAGAACTTTTTCTCAGAGAAATAAGCAGCTTACGCTCCAGTTTATTCCTGTCCACCATGCCTTAAAAGTCAACAGCCAAAGTTCTTGGCCTAAAGGTTGGGCTGGAATCGGCTTCTCTGACCCCCTCCCCTTCTCTGACCTCTCCTCCAGCACTCCCCTCCTCGTTCATTCTCTCTCTCCAGCCTCCCAGTCCCACCTGTGGGCTTTGCACTGGCTCTTTGTCCACACACACGCCATATCTGCCTGGCTCTCACCTCCTCTGGGTCTGCTCACACAGCCCTCCCTTCCTCTCTCTCTTTGTGGAGCTTCACACCTGTGATCACCCTTGGGTGAACTGTGTATTTATGAACTCGTGGGTTTGTGGACTGGGTATTTAAGAACTCATTGGTTTGTGGACTGGGTATTTATGAACTCATTGGTTTATGGACTGGGTATTTATGAACTCGTGGATTTGTGGACTGGGTATTTATGAACTCGTGGATTTGTGGACTGGGTATTTATGAACTCGTGGATTTGTGGACTGGGTATTTATGAACTCGTGGATTTGTGGACTGGGTATTTATGAACTCGTGGATTTGTGGACTGGGTATTTATGAACTCGTGGATTTGTGGACTGGGTATTTATGAACTCGTGGATTTGTGGACTGGGTATTTATGAACTCATTGGTTTGTGGACTGGGTATTTATGAACTCATGGATTTGTGGACTGGGTATTTATGAACTCGTGGATTTGTGGACTGGGTATTTATGAACTCATGGATTTGTGGACTGGGTATTTATGAACTCGTGGGTTTGTGGACTGGGTATTTAAGAACTCATTGGTTTGTGGACTGGGTATTTATGAACTCATTGGTTTATGGACTGGGTATTTATGAACTCGTGGATTTGTGGACTGGGTATTTATGAACTCGTGGATTTGTGGACTGGGTATTTATGAACTCATGGATTTGTGGACTGGGTATTTATGAACTCGTGGGTTTGTGGACTGGGTATTTAAGAACTCATTGGTTTGTGGACTGGGTATTTATGAACTCATTGGTTTATGGACTGGGTATTTATGAACTCGTGGATTTGTGGACTGGGTATTTATGAACTCGTGGATTTGTGGACTGGGTATTTATGAACTCATGGATTTGTGGACTGGGTATTTATGAACTCATTGGTTTGTGGACTGGGTATTTATGAACTCATGGATTTGTGGACTGGGTATTTATGAACTCGTGGATTTGTGGACTGGGTATTTATGAACTCATGGATTTGTGGACTGGGTATTTATGAACTCGTGGATTTGTGGACTGGGTATTTATGAACTCATGGATTTGTGGACTGGGTATTTATGAACTCGTGGGTTTGTGGACTGGGTATTTAAGAACTCGTGGGTTTGTGGACTGGGTATTTATGAACTCATTGGTTTGTGGACTGGGTATTTATGAATTCATGGATTTGTGGACTGGGTATTTATGAACTCATTGGTTTGCACCTGTGGATTGCTGTTTTCCTTTCTCCTAGGGACAGGAAATTGGATTTGTTCTCACCTGTGTCCCTGGATCCTAGAACAGCATGTGGCACACAGCAGAGACTCAGTAAATATTCTTTGGGTGGAATGAAAGCTGTGATGAAGATGAGGATGATGGTGGTTTCCTGGGCACCCTTCTAAGTGCTTAACACACATTCACTGGCTGTTCTGCATGTGAGCCTTGTGTGGTGGGTTCTGCAGAGCAGGGATCCTACATGGTGTAGGGGCAGCCCTTCCTGTTTGTGTAAGGCTGTGCTGTGATCTCTCAACAGAGATCGTACCTGCGTGGGCTCGGCTCAGCACTGGCAATGCCACCTCCACCTCCCAGGCTCAATCAGTTCTGCTTCAGCCTCCCAAGTAGCTGGGACTACAGGTGCCCGCCACCACGCCTCCTAATTTTTTGTATTTTCAGTAGAGATGGGGTTTCGCCTTGTTGCCCAGGCTGGTCTTGAACTCCTCAGCTCAGGTGATCTGCCCACCTCAGCCTCCCAAAGTGCTAGGATTACAGGTGTGGGCCACGACTCCTGGCTCCCTTTATTATTATTTGAAATCAGTGGACTGAGAAGCCTCTTGTCCTGTAGTTACCTCATTCTTCCTTCATTTCCCCTGCAGCCCCCCTTGATTCACTCACTGATGATTTAGTGAATGCCCCCCATCTCTACAGCGTTAGGTTAGACACTCAGCAGATGCAGAGGAAACCTAAGGGACTCCAGTCCAGCTGAGGCTCCAGATACACAACGAGAAACCCACAAGCAACAGTGAAGTGTGGGATTTGATAACCTCGTCATTTCTGGATAAGACCAGCGCAAACAACTCACAGAGCTGCTAACAGGAGGAGACGTGCGGAAACAGCCACCCCGCATGTGCAAGAGCACTGCCCTCAGAGGATCACCTAAAGTCGCCTCCAGCCCTCCCCGGAAGGCACCACTGCTGTCCCCATTGCACAGGTGAAGAAACGAGGCACACAGTCACCATACAGAGACAGCAGGCTTAGAGCCTGGGCTGTCTGATTCATGCTCACAGCAAGGGAGGCAGCATTTAGAAAGCTCTGACTGTGTGCCAGTGCTGTGCTAGGTCCTCACATACTGAACCTTCAGTATCACCCTCTGGGGATGCCGCTATTATAAACCCCCTTTACTGATGAGGAAACTGAGGCACAAAAAACCGAAAAGCATTTGCCCAAGAGCAAGCAGCTGTTAAGTGTCAGAGGCAGGATTCAAACCGGGTCTGTCCTACTCCTCCAGGGGTGTTCTGAACCCAAGAGCCTGGAATTGGGAGTTGCTCCCCAATGATGCCCTCGAATTTCTCCCAGTCCAGGGGCTCCCTCCCCCTCCCAAAGTGCTCACTCTGCCCTCCTGTGGCCCAGCCCCAGCTCAGGGTGTAGTCATAATGGGGACCCCCAGGTACACATCTGTCCTGGCCCCCTCTGCAGCCCCAGCCAGCCCTTTCCTCCCAGCTTATGTTGCCTCTCAGATGAAAACAAAATATGGCACGTGAAATCCTGCTGAGAAAGGAGGACACTCACCCCAGATGCCAACACCTTTGTGAACACTGCAGAGCAATCCAGGATTTCCGGCTTTTATTTTCATTCCTGCTCAGGGGTTGTATAGTAAGTCTGTTTCAAAGTAGCCACTTCGCACCCATTCATGGTACAACTCAGACAAGAACTCTCCGGTTCTGCATGCCTTACCTGGATAAAAATGATTCCTGGTGGCTCATGCCTCTAATCCCAGCACCTTGGGAGGTCAAGGTGGGTGGATCACCTGAGGTCAGGAGTTCAAGACCAGCTTGGTCAATACGGTAAAATCCCGTCTCTACCAGAAAAACAAAAGTTAGCCAGGTATGGTGGGTGCCTGTAAACACAGCTATTTGGGAGGCAGAGGCAGGAGAATCACTTGAACCCGGGAGACAGAGGTTGCAGTGAGCCAAGATCACACCATTGCACTTCAGCCTGGGTGACAAGAGTGAAACTCTATCTTAAAAAAAAAAAAAAAAAAAAAAAAAAAAAGATTCCCTTAAGGTTTTCAACCTGGTGGCTATTTTGTTCCTATAGATGAACAAAAATAGCTTTGCAAAGCCATTCTGCCGCTGACATCCCTAGGAAGCAGGTGGGCAAATGCCCGTTCTGGGCTGTGGCAGTGGGAAGCCCAGTTTAGCAAGTCCAAGTCCAGATTCAGTTAAAGCACACCGGCTGGATATGCGACCAAGGAGGCTGGATGAACAGGTGCCGGCATAGAGAAAGCCATGCAGACCTAGGAAGGAAGATGCCGGCCGGGCGCGGTGGCTCACGCCTGTATCCCAGCACTTTGGGAGGCGGGTGGATCACGAGGTCAAGAGATCGAGACCATCCTGGTCAAGAGATCGAGACCATCCTGGTCAACAGATCGAGACCATCCTGGTCAACAGATCGAGACCATCCTGGTCAACATGGTGAAACCCCGTCTCTACTAAAAATACAAAAAATTAGCTGGGCACAGTGGCGCGTGCCTGTAATCCCAGCTACTCAGGAGGCTGAGGCAGGAGAATTGCCTGAACCCAGGAGGCGGAGGTTGCGGTGAGCTGAGATGGCTCCATTGCACTCCAGCCTGGGTAACAAGAGCGAAACTCCGTCTCAAAAAAAAAAAAAAAAAAAGGAAGATGCCGATCCACCGCGTTACCTACCTTCACTTAAGTTTATTAAGTGCAAAGCCAACACATAAATCAGTGTGAATAAGCCAGACACCCCATACCACATACTGGATGATTCCATTTCTACGAAACGCCTACAGTGGGCAGATCCATACAAACAGAAAGCAGATTGTTGGTTGCCAGAGGCTGGGGGAAGAGGGAAGGAGGGCTGACAGCCAGTGGGTGCGGGGTTTCCAGCAGGGTCGATTCCAAAACGAAACACAAGGTCGGCTGCGAGACTCAGTGAATATGCTGATCACCACTGAACTGTACATTTGAAAGGGTAAATTGTCTGTCATGTGAATTTCATTTCAAAAGACCATTTAATCAGTATGAATAAAATACCACTAAGAAAAAACGTGTGTGCTCTGTATAACTGCTTCATGAGACAATCTATAGACAGTCAGCCCAACATGTCAAGAGTTTACATGTTGGAGGACGAATTCAGATCATGTTTACTTATTTGTAACTCTCTGTGTCGTCTGAATTTTTTTACAGTAAACATCACTATTTTAATAATCAGTACAAGAATTTATATAAACTATTTCCATTTAGGGAAAAAGAATCCAGTCTCCAGAGCTGCTCTCAATGTACCCACATCCCTCCCTCAGAGCTCGCCACCCCCTTCCTTCCACATACAGGAGCTTTTACCCTTCTTTGGAAAGTTCCAGCAGCTTAGCGGCCAGACCAATAAAAATGCACCCCAGCACTGGTTTGCGTGGTGGAGGAAGAAAGCCAATTTTCCCCTAAGCATTACTCGCTCTTCCTCTGGAATTTGGACGTCAAACATCTAAAAATATGTCTCTCCCTGGAACAGAGGGTTTAGAGTTCAGCGTGCATAGATGAATGCCATTTCCTGGTGCCCGGAGCCCCCAGCACTGCGCCCTGGGGATGGAATTTGGTGCAAGGTTAATGGGACTTCCTCAGGGGGAGACAAAAAAAAAAAAGAAAGAAATTCTCAAGGCTGCAAACTCAACCAACTCTTCCCATCAATGTCATTGTCAATCAGTGCACCCAAGAGTCCTCGAGAACTTTCCATCCCTTCTGTTCTGTTCTGGAAGGTTTTAACATAATTTATTCTTTCGTTTGATAGTAAATTCATAATTCTCAGGCCCACTGTGTTTCAGGCACTGGGCTGGATGTGGGGAGTTCTGAGTTGAAGCAGAAGACATTGGCCCTGGCTTTGCGTGGCTCAGTTTCAGGCAAGTCACAGACGCTACGCAAAACATCACACAGACGAGGCGAACGAATTGCGTTTTGTGGCCATCTGCAGAAGTAGTTAGGAGCCTAAACAAATCATGGCAATGGTCACAATAGAGCTCGATGCTAAGAAGGAAGAGGTGGGCCGGGCGCCGGGGCTCATGCCTGTAATCCCAGCACTTCGGGAGGCTAAGGCGGGCGGATCATGAGGTCAGGAGATCAAGACCATCCTGGTTAACATGTTGAAAACCTGTCTCTACTAAAAATACAAAAAATCAGCCATGTGTGGTAGCATGCACCTGTAATCCCAGCTACTCTGGAGGCTGAGGTAGGAGAATCACTTGAACCTGGGAGGCGAGTTCAGTGAGCTGAGATCACACCACTGCACTCCAGCCTGGGTGACAGAGCGAGGCATTCAGGGAGAGGCCTCGGAGCAGGTGGGCATGAAGTTACGATGACCCAAGAGCCGGAGTCAGCACTGTGAGTGGACACTTGCTGAGCGGCTATCCCGAGGTATGGGTGACACAGAGGTGCCAGCGCCTGCTCCCCCAGCTCACAGGGACTCTATGTGCCATCACAGAATTTTTGAGAGATGCCTCAGATTCTTGCTGCTTCTTAGAAAAAACTATTGTGGTAAAATACATATAACATGCAATTTTCCATTTCTGCTGTCTTCAGTGTGCGAGTTGGTGGCATTAATAAGATTCACGATGTGTGCAGCCACCTCCACGATCTATTTCTGTGGCCTTTTCATCACCCCCAGCAGAACCTCTGTTCTGATTAGGCAGCTGCCCCCCGTTCCTCCCTTCCCCAGCCCCTGGCAACCACGAATCTCCCTCCGATCCCACTGGATTTGCCTCTTCTGGTGTTGCATCCAAATAGTGTCACACGCCTGTGGCCTTTGTGCGCTCAGCATCATGTCTTTGAGGTTCATCTGTGTCGTGGTGTGTCTGGGCTCCGTTTCTGTGGCTGGGTCCTAGTCCACTGAGTGGACAGACTGCACTGTGCTCAGCCCATGCGCATCGGCTACCTCCACCCTGTGGCTGCGGTGGGTCTTGGCACAGAGGTGTCCTGCTTTCCTGCCTCCTTCTCCCAGATGATAACCACACAGGGGCCTGGGATGCTTTTTACTAGCTCATTTCCACCTGGAATTTCAGGGCTGGACCCTCAGATGAAGAAGCCCAGCCCCAGCGAGAGGAAAGTGATTTGCCCAAGGTCCCCCCAGAAGTCAGCTCTTCATGGACTTTTCATTCCTCCCACTCACCCATCCATGCCAGGCTCTGGGCTAGACACCGGGGCGTGGCCAAGCCTACAGAGAGCTTGCTTCACATCAGTACGACATATCCCCTTTCCCCAGCACCCAGGGAGCTCCGGGGCTTTGCTGGGGTTCTCATCCATGAGCCCTGGAGACCGCCTCCTGGGTGCTGCTGGGGGTCTCCAGCACCCACTGAGCACCCCAACCCCCAAGGTGGAGGCATCTTTGAAGTCTTGATGATGAAGTCCTGCGGGAAGGAGCAGAGAAAGCCCCCAGACTTTGGGGAAACAGTGACAGCTGCATCAGTCCCCAGCTAAAACGGCGCAGAAAAGCCATTCTCTGCAACAGCCTGTTTCCTTATCTGTGAAATGTCTCTCAATCAGGAGCTGACTCCCCTCATTCTCAGAGCAGACTATCCATTTCCCAGGACCACTGCAACAAAATGCCACATGCTGGGGGCTGAAAACAGCAGAAACGGATTCTTTAACAGTCCTGGAAGCTGGAATTCTGAGATCCAGGTGTCGGCCGGGTTGTTTCCTTTGTGGAGGCTCTGTGGAGAAAATCCTTCCACGTCTCTCCTGGCTTCCAGCGGCGGCTGGCAATTCCTCCTGTTCCCTGGCTTATAGATGCGTCACTCTGATTTCTGCAACTCTGTGTCTCTTTTTTTTCTTTTCCCCAGAGACCAAGTCTCACTCTGTCACCCAGGCTGGAGTGCAATGGCACGATCTTGGCTCACTGCAACCTCCACCTCGCCTCCTGGGTTCAAGTGATTCTCCTGCCTCAGCCTCCCAGTAGCTAGGACTACAGGTATCCACCACCACACCGGCTAA